CAGTTCTGATACGCTGTCGCCAGCACACTGTTTTCCAGTTATCCAAAGCAAAAGCAATTTCTCACATGATCTAATATTCTTGATCTCTGTTTAGAAATTGATTTAACCCCTTTCGCAACGTTAGCAGATTTAATAATGTATTTATTTTTCACGATTGTCGATATCTCGTTCTCGGAATACGGTAAGCAGCAGTTAAATCTCGAACACGCATACCGCTTTCATATTTCTCAACAATCTCTTTTTTCAGTTCCATTGTGATTCTAGTCAATGTTTTAGTTTTCTGTTTCTTTTCATTTGTCTTTTTGCAATTCATCATTAATAAAACTAATTAAATTTTACTTACAATTTAAAATCAGAAGAAATTTAACAAACTTATAAACCGTGGCACCGCGAACGTTTAGTCTGGTCTACTACACCGATAGTGCTACTTGTTCATAGATGGCGCGTATAATTGAATTAAATTAAGTCGTATACCGAGCAAAATTTGTTTCGTCCAAACAGGACGTATTCCGAATTGGACGTGTTCTAAAGCAGACGTATACCGAAATACCACTGTATTTAATTAATATTAAGTCATATAAAATGTTTATAAGATTTTCATTGTTTTTTATTTATGTAAGCCCTGACATAATTTATTTTTAGCATTTATTTAACTCATGACGAGAAAATAAAATATTTGTAATTTCAATCAAATAGTTTCGCTTGGAAATTGCATCATATTGTATATGCTGTATTATGTTAATATAAAAAATTTTACTGAAATAAAATTGTTTTCTTTATAAATAAGACTCGTGTAATTTGAGTCTAACCTTATCTGCAGACCCTCATGCATGTACAGGTACATTTTTCAAACATTAAATACATTAATTACAGGAAATTTGTACAAATATGAATTCCGATATTTTTCTCCTAGAAAAATATATTTCATTTGTACCTAGAAACAACATGTTTATGTTGTTTCTAGGTACAAATGAAATATGTCAGTTTATAAAACAAAAGTGAAAAGTCACCGCGAAACAGTTAGATATTATAATTCAAATATAAGCAGTTAAATTAATTTAATTCTTAAAATAAAGCTACATAATATTAAATATAATTATATATTAAACACATTTAAGAAATTCATGCCATTGACGAAGTATAAAATCTAATTTTCTTTACCTTTATATACGAACAAACACCACTTCCATTAGCGCTTAATTCTCAAATAACTGATGGAAAAGAATAGAAAAAGTGGAAGGATAAATGCCTAAAATCACTGTTCACGTGTCAATAGAAAATCCTGGAAATTATGTTAATTACTTAAAGCAATTGTTAGTATTCTAGCAGCGTTAAGATTTTTTTGGTAGATATAATGCTGAAAAACGCTGTGAAACGCCGGCAGCAAAACAAGTTTACAATTGAACAATAATAGGGAAAAAATATATTTATATAGTATATATCTAATTTCCATTTTAAATTTATTTTTAAGTAATATTCTTTAATTTAGTAAGGTAATTTCAGTTTATTGTGAGAAATCCCGATAAGTAGAAATTACACACTACTAATTAATTACAATTATCAATTTAGTAAATTACAATTAATTAATCTCGATATTTCTGCAATTGCTAAGGTCATAGTTTTTTAATTATATGGAATAAATTAGTAGGCATAGCAATAAATGTAGTAGTATAGTAATAAATGTATAGACATTAATTACAGTCTTTTGTTTCCTCTCTTTCCTCGTTTACTATTGTGTCCCTGTGACGTCAGATTACTGCAAGAATTTCAATAATAACTTCAAAATTTAAGAGAGGAAATGTCGTTGATATAACATTGCTTTTATAGCTTGATTATATTAAATACTTTAGTGTATATACGGAAACAAGATATACATGTTATAGCTTAGAAATGAACCTTTTAAAATATATTATCCTTGTAATTGATATCAGCTTTTATTGGCAAGAAAACAAATTTGGCGGATATGTTATTTCTATAAAAAATTCTATGTGCAGTATATTTTATAGAAAATTCTATGAAATATATTGCACATTCAGTCTAAATATATTATATTTAATTCAGAAATACGTAAATTTATCACATTTAATTTTATATTAGCAATTACGGTAATACAGTAAAACCTGTGTAAAACAGAACCTGAATACAAAGGAATCGGACTGCCTAAATGGAAATTACATTATTTTTACAGTATTTGTCGTCGAATTGTCACAATGCATGCTGCAAATTTTAATTATATTTTTAATTAATTTATTTTATAATATATGCTCCTTACATCAAATTAGTGCCTCCGTACATCATACTTTTCCTGTTAGCAATAGAGTCGTGCCGGTTATATGTCTAACTCTGTTGAAAGGATATTTGTGTTGAAATAACATGATTTGATTTGCTTTACAAATCGAAAGTACACATATAGGTAATCTGGTCCTTTTCTCTTACGATTTGTATGGTCTTGTCTCTACTTTCATCTATCTAACTCCTTTCTCGGGATTATACAACCTGTAGTCAAAATTTTACATAAAAGCAATTATTCTAGCATTTTTACAAGATTTTTGTTATTTAAACGGATGAAGTCTCTCGGACGTTAAGGTTAGCAATTTCGATCACCTGCGGAGTTATTATAGTCCGTCTAACACATATTACTTTTCAAATATTAATATTAGATCGGTATTAATGAGTAGTCGTTGACCATCTTCTCTCTTCCGGGAGGAGTTCAACGACTAATTTTGGTCGAATTAACTTTAACTCCCTTCTGCAACAGCCCCTTTTTTTCTATCAGACCAGAGATATGGTGGCGTTCGAATTGGAAAATCCAAAATACGAGGTTACCGGCCCGCACAAAATATGATTTAAGTGGTTTTCGAGGGTGCCGAGTTTAAATATTTGATCCTTTTTTTCGAAATTTGATTAGCTGGCAGATCACCGTCTGATATTCGGCTGTGAATAAAACAGTTTGTTAGCGCTTACATTAGTGAAAAATATAATATATTAAAATATTAAATTTTTTAAGATATCGTATTTTTAATTAGTGTCTACTTGACCAATGAAATTGTGCCATTTCCTACAGTCAGAGTATCGCGATAAACGTGACAATGGTGGGCTAATATAAACGAACTGTTTATATGGTTTTCGTTTTAACGTTCCTTATATTATAGTATTTGATTTATATAACTACAAAGGTTATCTTACGTAAGGGTTTATCACACCAATCTAAAGCTTACAAATTCTTCATTCCTCTACTGTATATAATTTAAACCCTGACCTTTGCACTTAATATAATTAAAATACTATAATATAATAGAAGCGTTAGAAGTACGAAATAATCTAATAATTTTCGTATATCTACAGTACTTATTTTTCCCCGGGCAACGCCGGTTACCTACTAGTGAAATAATATATTGAAATTTGTAAGAATTCTTGATTTAAATAAATAAAACACATAAATTATACTGGATATATGATTATAATGTTTCTCCTTGAATCACTTTTCCTGGTATTTTTGTAATTTTTTAAAAATATTTTGATAATAAATCAATTTTATTGTACTGTATATTCTTAGCAAACTTCGTCATATAATTCTTTCTTAAAATGTTATTTTTAATAAGTCTGATGTCATTATGTATTTTTCGTAATAATTACGGATATTTCGATATTATTTATTTATATACAAAGAAAATATATTATAAATTTGAGTTTTTCTTCAACAAATATACACATATTTACGTGTGTATTATGCAATTTTTTCGCGTGAAGAAAAAATTAACATTATTTTTCTATTCGGTTTGAAACTCACGTAAAATTATAATAATTTCTTACTTCTAAACATTCCAAATATTCTATGTTTCGCTGAAGGTTATTGAAACGTCTACATCTTTGAAAACTATTGTTATATTCGTCAGACGAACGTTAATTATTCCACGTTTGATGTAATTGCTTTTGCACAGGTGAGCAACTCTTATAATTACAACCAGAATAGCTTCAATATAAAAAAAAAGAAAATCACAGAAAATAACAGAAATTATATTTCAATCTCCAGACAATTTATAATTTTTATTGCAGACGAACATAAGTCCGTGCAACAGAAGTTTTTAGCTTTCTGTGACATGAATATGTAAAATTACTAAATACCTTTTGCTATATATTTTTAAATAGAGTTATAATTGGGCTACAATTTTAAAAAATTGTAGAGCTATAAATTTCCACTGTCGTCTGTCCGTCTGTCTATTTGTCTGTCCATCTCGAGAACGGAGATACATAGAAAAAAAAAAAAACAGATGAAATGTGAAAATCATAGGGACAGGAAAACCCGATTAACTATATAGGATCATCCGATGCAAACCGGAAATCACTCAATTCAAATATTTCTCCTGAAAGATTTTAGATAGATGACCGGCACAACTCTATTGTTAAAGGAAAAGTATAACGTATAAATGCAAGCCAATACTAACTTGTGGTGGAGCCTCATTAAATTAAATTAAATTAAAAATATGATTAAAAATTGCAGCCCGGCATCGCGATGCTGTCACAATAAATAATTGCTCGTTGAAATGTATGTTAACAAAATTAAACATAGAAGAACAGAAAGTATACAACAAGAAAAAAAAATAAAATCAGTTATTAATATCTTCATATTAAATAATTAATCAGAAGTAAATTTACATAAATGGCTTAAATTAAAAAAAAATCAAAATAGAAATCATATCAATTACTTGTTCTTTCAATACACCTTTGGATTTTTCCGTATTCCTCTTATAAATTTTTTTTACAGAAAGTAATAATGGAAAAATAATAATTCTAATAAACAGAGCAAGGTGAACCCTATATCTGATTATTAGACAGGCTTATATTTTCTTTTTATTATTTATTAAATATAAGATTTATGACATTGATAAGTTAATCGAATAAAGTTAATTAATTTTTTTATGAAATTAGATCCGTGAAATTTGATAAAATTTCTCTATTCATTGGACGAATCAAAAGTGACGTTACAGAGATATTACAGCAGAAAACAGAATGAAATAATAAGAAAGAAGAGATTCACAAGTGAAAAGACAGAAAGAATCATGACTGTCGCATTTCTTATTTTAGCTCTTTGCTGCTTGCTGACCCGAGTGACAATAACACAGAATCGCCGTTTCCATCCTTCGTGGGAAATGGAAACTGAAATGGAAATAGATCTTCTAGGAAATCCAGTTGTGAGTTAATATTTTTACTAACTTTTATAAGAAGAATTTCTACAAATAAATGCAAAAATTTACTTCTGACATAATTATTCTTGTTCATTATTAAGTATAATTTAGTCGACAAGTCACACTAAATTGAAAGGTTTCTTTATACTGCTTAGCGTATTGGTTTTATTGGTAACGAAAGATTAATTATTTTGTGTAGAAAATGCGTTCAAATTTACCCAATATTGCACCTTGCCGTAACAGCATGGAATGTAGTAGCGGATGTTGCGTCCAATTTCGTAAGAATCGGATGTGTTTAGCTCGAGCTGAATACGGAGAACGGTGTACCGTGGATCAAGTGAAAGGGGGAGTGTTTGATCAGTACTGTCCCTGTAAAAACTCATCATGTAAGTATAAATTCCGTTTAATTAAGCACTGTATTAAAATGTTAGATCTCTATTCCAAAATTATCTACTTTACGTACAGTACGTACTTCCAAGTGTTCGAAGAAATAGTTTGAGATTATGAAAATTCTTATAAAGAGTAATTATTGTCTGAAATGTGACTTCTAGATTGGCTTATTTTAAATAATGCTAATCTAGATCCACCATATTGGTACGAAGTGAATACTTTTGTTTATAATTTCGGCTATTTTCTCTGTGGGCATAAACAGGATCTATTTTGTATGCCAATAATGGGTTCGGTGCGACTCAGAAAAAAAGCTGCAGAGCGATGAAAAATTGCCGGGAACACCGATGAAAACTATTTGGAGATGCTCTCCAGGAATTTTTCATGAAATGATTGAAAATGAGTTTTAGAGTGTTTATAAATAGAAACGTATATATATACTAGCTGCAAGGACCCGCTTCGCTGGGTTTTTATTTATGGGCAAAAAGTAACGATAGTGAAGATTAAGATAATTACATTATAGCCAATCTTACCCGTTTTCACNAAAGAATAAATAATTTATTAATAAATATTGCATCTGTAGGTATTTTCTATTTTCTATTGATTAAAAAGACCAATAAAATTCTGTAAAATGTTTCGGCCATAAATTTACAATCGAATGTTTATAAAATTTCCATTCTACTGTAAAAACTTTAACATAAATAGAATTCTAGATGAAGTTATTATAAGCGTGTAAGATTTGATCTAGTAAAAAAATTCAGTATATACTATTATTAATAGTATATGGTATGTATATCTATATATGTATATGTGTGTGTCCCTATATATATATATATAGGGACACACACGTCCATTTATATATATATATATAAATGGACGTGTGTGTCCCTATATATATATATATAGGGACACACACATATACATATATAGATATACATACCATATACTATTAATAATAGTATATACTGAATTTTTTTACTAGATCAAATCTTACACGCTTATAATAACTTCATCTAGAATTCTATTTATGTTAAAGTTTTTACAGTAGAATGGAAATTTTATAAACATTCGATTGTAAATTTATGGCCGAAACATTTTACAGAATTTTATTGGTCTTTTTAATCAATAGAAAATAGAAAATACCTACAGATGCAATATTTATTAATAAATTATTTATTCTTTCAGTTGTTTGTGACACTGTGTCACCAGAACCCTCGTGCCAGTACGTACTGTTATTCAACTTTAATGGTTTGGGTCCTCATTTGTAATATGAATAAGTTTCCAAATTTAAAATTAATAATCAAGAATATTTTACGGCAATTTTTATATATTTGTAACATTAAACAATTATTTTTAAAGTAAACGTTTATAAATATTTGTAATATTTTTGGAAATTATGGTATTATGTAAATGATGCATTTTAATAAAAATAAATGAAATTTAAAACGTATGCTGTCATTTATGTTTAATATGTATTATTTACAAAAGTTTTAAGACTAATTATAAGGTTAATTTATGTTAAAAACATACCAAACTATTGACTGATTTATACGTTAACGGCAGATACCAACACATTGGCTTCAATATATCCTGAAAACAATACGCTAGACTATAATTTCATCTATTACGATCGAATTTGATCCTAACCGTGTTGCCGAGCATGAATGAGAAACAAAAAATTGCACTTTCACTCGTAGTACTCGAGTTAAATTATAAGAGTGAATACAGTCATACCCCGACTTACGCTACCCCGACTTACGCGAACCCGGAGTTACGCGATTTTCAAATCTCGTCGATTCGTCTTTTGTTTGAGCGCCACGCAACTCTTGATTATTCACTCCCCCCACACTATTGTTCAGCTTAATGTTCGGACGTGTCGCGCGGAATCGACGCATAGCTACAATTTATTTTGTGTAATTTATTTCTGTTTGTTACATCTACAGAGGCTTGAGAGTCTCTATGTGATGATTTCTTGTAACCGTGAACGAACCAAAAGGCGAGATAAGATTAACGAGAACATTTATTAGCTTACGTACAGTACATCCGACTTGGATTTTACACAAAAGGCATCTGCAATCGTGAACAATTGACGAAAAAAGTATACATTTATCAGATAATAAACAAAGACTCATTTTGTAAACAATTTACCTTTTGTATAAACAACTGACAGGATTACCTTTCAAATTATAAACAGACTCGATCCCAAGCGGTTTTTTTGATCGTCGGACATACAAAAGAAATGAACAGATGGCGCCTAACTTAAGCGCGGTTTACAATAACGAATATGATTAGTCTTAACGCTCTACTATGTCATCCAAACGAAGTAGAACTGATTCTTCTGCATCAAACAAGAAAAGAAAAACTTTATCTTTGGAATGTAAAGTTAACATTATTAAAGACTTCGATACAAAAATGAAAATTTGTGAATTGGCAAAGAAGTTTGATCTACTCGAATTGTCGGTCAGTTATAAAAGGCAAAGAAAAATTCTCGAAGCTGCGAAAAATGCTCAATCTTTAAATTCAATCATCACTCGTAAACGTCACGGTATTATCGCTGAGATGGAAACGATGTTAAAATTATAGTGTGATAATCAAGTTAATGTGAAAAATTGTATAATAATATAATTTGTTATACGTATGTATTATCTCAGATTTTACTAAACATTTTTTTTCTAAATTATTGTTTTCTTTAGTCTCCGGTCCCAATTAAAAATAATTTGTATGTATTTATATGCAAAATTATACCCCGACTTACGCGGTTACCGCTCGGTCCCACCTATCGCGTAAGTCCGGGGTATGACTGTACTTGGAACAGGATTTGCGATTCGCCACGATTGCAACGATTGAATCAAATGATCAAAAACGATAAAACGATTGATCAGACCTTTCGGTAATGTTAGAAATATTATTGTTTAAACACTCAAGGCTAATTTATCTTGAGTTATTACTTCAATTTCATACAGACTCGAAGAACATTCACTTACTCACACTTACATTCACTGTGATATATTAAAGATAAATTTATCGGTTTACTTTGAATTTTTATAGAAACTATAAACATTATTGTGTGTAACAGATATTCTGATCATCGGAAATAAACAATAAACAGAGAAAATAACAATTTCTTCTAGTTTTTAACGTATTTTGTAGGAAATTTCGTAATATGATCACGTAATGAAATGAGAAATATAAATTCGTAAATATGGTAGAAAGTAATTTCAGCTGGAAACGTCACATTTGAATATTTATTCAGATAAAAAAGAACCAATGAAGATACGAAAATAAACGTGAACAATAGTGAGTTTTAATTCGTTTTTACCTCTGTGTCATTAGGCTAATGTTTTACTTTTTGTTTCTATATTATCTACTTCAGTGTTTTTCAACCTTTTTGAATACGCGACCCTTTACATGTTAAAAAATTCTGGCGCCCCCTAGGGCCATATTAAAAGTATATCAGTGGTTTTAAAAACTATGTACAGTCGACCCCCCATAAGACAGTAGATACATTCCATTCTTTAGGAATCCGATTTCTTACGAATCCTTCCAATCACAGCCCGACACGTGTCAAGTTTACGTACTACGGCTGTTTGAAAGCTGTTTTCTTCCATAAAATTAATCGATTCTAGACTAATCCGACTCAACATTTCCAAAATACGTATATTTTTTTTGGAAATAATCTGTATAAACTACGCTATAAACAAAAAAAATTGTAAGATTACTTACCGAGTGTGCACCATTCGACATCGCCGTTGCTCAAGCTTGTTTTCGTTGCGGAACAGCTCTGCAAACCGCGGCCGCGATTTCTGATGTTATTTTTTTGCGAAAACTTCGCTGAACTTTGGAGACAGCATTAATATAAATAATTTTAATCGCCGTTGAATAAGAAATGTTTCTTTCATTACAAATGTATAAAATTACAGTGCTGTATTAGACTTACGGTACCTAATTTACATACTGTACAGACGATGGTTCGCCTAAACTCTCCATAGCGTGGCGCCAGGCGGCGGAAAATATATATATATATAATTATAATAAAGTTACAATAAATTAAGTTAATATAAGTTATAATTATATATACATAATATATAATTATATATACAATACCTAATTTATATATAATTAATATATAATTATATGTACAGTACCGAATTTATATATAATACTGTACAGACGATAGTAGTCTCTCCGTAATGTGGCGCTTGACGGCGCGGAAAGTAGTTCGGCTGCCTGATGACGTTTTACGTAATTATAGGAGATTTTTACCGTTTTTTACGGATACCGTCGCAATTTTTTCGCTGTCTTATAGGAATCGTAATTATAGGAACCCGTTTTATAGGGGGTCTACTGTATTTAATTTTCTTTCTGTTGAGACAAATTATTGTTGATTAAAATTAGAGTTTCAGAAGAATCGACAATAACTTAACACACGTAAAGTATTAAACTTCCTTAATTAATTAATTATAACATTGGGCTCAGGGAGTTGTTGACCTTTTTTTAGAATCAGAATTTTCAGCTTCTACTTTTCTACTTTTTATTTCTTTTTGCAAGTCAGCTCAACACTTTTTCGGCTATCATTTTCTGAGGTGGGCCGTATCCACCCAGGCCCCTCCCTGGCTACACCCATGGTTGAGACGTAAATATCGATCAAAAAACCAATTGTACTGTAAAATAAACAGGTACAACCTTCTCGCTGAAATTGTAGTTTTTTTAATGTAGTGTAGGACCTACAAACACTTGTGTTTTTCTTTTACCCGCGACCCCCCGTGTAAGGCTTCGCGACCCCCTGGGGGTCGCGACCCACAGATTGAAAAACACTGATCTACTTTATCTACCTACCTTCACTTAACATGGTTTATAAAGGTTCAAGTGAAAATGTAGAAACAGTAGAGCATCGATTATACGACTCCCGATTAACCGTCACCTCGGTTAACCGACCGCGTTGTAGTCGGCAAATTCAAATGTCCGCTAGTGATGTGGCGCTACAATATTTGGCTATGTCTTGGCTACTTTAATATTATTTTTACCTGTTTAGGTGGCAACACTGGATCGACCATGAAAGGGAGCCAGTATTTAAACGAGGCTTAATTTTCTAATTTTTAACGATACAATAGCGACGATTATTATTTTAAAAAAAAAAATTTGATAGGCTTAACATGGAGGAAAATTCAACGCGAAGTAGGTTAATAGCGATATACTAATGTACTAATTACATGGGATATAATAATATACTACACTAATAATGGATTTTTTCATACTTTTCGGTTATCCGACTTTTCAATTATCCTACCAACCCCAGTCACCAATTGAGTCGAATAATCGATGCTCTACTGTATTTTATTTTGACTTTAGAATAATACTCTTTACTAATTAGAAACTATTGATACATCAGTATAATAAGTCTTATTTATAAACAAGGTCGAAGATAGCGATTTTATTTAAGAATTATATTAGATTTTAGAAATAATGCAACGCAACATATGAGCTATCTGCCTAATGCCAGATAGCTCATATGTTGCGTTGCATTATCTCTAAAATCTAATATGTTCCTGCTTGCAGAATTTTCGAAGGTAAGCTATTTTTATGGCACTATTCAGAAACACAAAGAAAACACTAAAGTCCCAGCTTTTTCGTCAGGTGAGAACCCACGACCATCTACAAGTGTTTACTAGTTTTATCATTTAAATTTAATTACTAATTAAAAATTAGAATTTTACTATTTACGTTACTTTAAAGTAATAATTACTTTAGTCTGGAAAAACTGTGCTGTTGTAAAAATATCTATCTGAAGTTTCGAGAAATTTGACACTTAAAATTGACTGTAAACTAGTAAAAATTCAGCATATATTATTTTTTTTAATATATTAAACATTTTTTTTTATTTGTGTTGTTTTCGAAACCGTGTTTTTTGAATACATTGGACTTCGAACTCGCATTTGAGTTATAAATAAACACTTTGCTTTATTTCCATCATTTTTTTATTTATTAATTTATCAGTAGATCCGCAGTACATTAATTAACACTCTCAGAAACAGTAAATGATATATTACGTAAGTGTGTAATTAAATTGCAATAGCAGATATGAAAATTGAGGTCTACATTATATTACTCACAATTGAAAAACATTTATATTAAATTTAAAGAAATATGAAACTTTCATACGTGCAGAAATTATTCATATATAAATTCAAGGTAATTTCGATTTTAGTTATTCATATACAAGTATCCATATCATTTTATAAAGTAAAATTCACTAAAATTATTGAAATAATTTTTAAAACATTATTAGACTGAAATTTGATATAAAAACTATAGAGCTATAAATTCTCACTGT